ACCTGAACTGTGTAACATGCCCATCATTTTAGCTGCACCCCCACCCCCATCCCCTTTCCCAAGCTTCTGGCCAAAAATAAAAAGTTGGCACCTATGATTCAATATATACAGACACAAAACAAGATCGTCTTCTTGCAAGGATTGATCAAGGTCTAATAGGCATTTAAGTTACTAATTTTCTAAGTTATAGAGAAAACAGATATGAATTACAGAAATATTTTTTTCTTCCATATGCAGAAAGAGCCAAGCCAATAGAGTACCATTTGCATTAGCTATAGGATGTTATTAATTATGTATTTATTCCATTTTTTATCTCTTCTCCTGGTCCAATTAAAAAGTACATTGTTCAGGACTGTATACCAGAGAAAGTCAGTGCTTCCATCTGTAGTAACCCTGCAGGAATAAGCTACAGATGAATTAAGTCTACTTTGGAAAAAAAAATAATAATAATAATAATCAGATAATTCCTCTACTTTGATGTTTTATGGTCACTGGGTTGATGTAAGGAAGGGGAAAACCGTGATAGCAAGTGGAATTTGGATAGAAATATCAATCTTAAGAGTTACTAGCATTACTCGTTATTTGTATTTATGGGGGGGGAGGGGGGGGAGGCGATAAAAGCAGTTTGACCAACCTCACACTAGTGCTTAAGGATCCAAACCAAAAAAATCAGGCCCCATGTATTGAATACTCAAAATAAACAGAATGAGAAACTAACAGTTCCATGAAGAACTTAGTTACCTGGACACCACCATGCTTGCCATACTAGAAGTGTGGAATAACTACTGGACACCCACAGATTTAAAAGACCAATCAAAAACTTTCAGGCACATGTCTGTATTACTCCAAAGGATATATTCAAGAAAGTAAAAAGGTAAGCAGAGATATCTATGAAGAAGTGGGGTCCAAATATCGTCCTTTACTATGTTACTTGATTAACAAGTCATTCTTACCCAATTTGAAAGCAATTATTTGAGAAACATGAGCTTGAGTATGGTACACTTCAGCCAAGTCAAATAGCCTAGGGTCACCACACACATATTGAGCAAGTTCTTTGATTTCATCGAAACATAACCCTAGTCTTGTCTGCCAAGATACAAACTCCTTCATTGATCTCCTCATTGCATTTTAAATAAATTTCCATAGAAACTGGAAGCATTCCCTAAACCAACAGAGGCTTCCTTACTTCCAGCAATTATCTTAAGGTCTAATTTGCATTTTAAATGTCACCTGTATAAATTAAAACTGTTTACTGCTAACACTGTCATTATTCTGATTCATCTGGTAGGAGCCAAGCGAAGCAACTTTTCATTTAAAAAAAAAAAAAAAAATCCCAATTGGAAAAATACCTCCTGGAATCATATGCTGGGAATATTTCCCTCAGACCCCAGAGCCTGTTTTTAACTACTCCGCTTCTAACGTATGCAGTGTTTTCATGTTAATCTTGGCAATACAAGTATTTGAAAACAGTTCTTTCAATATGCTTTTAAATTGCTATTAACAAAACCTGGTGTATATTATGCAGTAGAGTTGTAGACGTTGGAAATATTTGAGACACTGGAAATCCTCTCCTTTTTCTTCTTCTTCCCCTTTTCTCCACCCAATGGTTTTTTTCAGTTAGCTAAAAAGCATTTTCAAACATTACCTGGGATCTCCATGTCTATTATTTTGGAGTTTAACTACAGTATTTCCCATCCTTACCTCCAATGATAAGTTTTAATGGAACGCAATCTTTAAATCTAAACGTTTTCTTCCAGAGAGATGCATTTAGCCCAGGTACAACTGAAGCTTCCCAATACTGAAGCTGCCTCTGTGTAATTTAAAGCAATCTTGATGACCACCGGGCTGCAGTCACATAAGGAAGTACATGAACAAGGTTTTTAAATGGCGAGTTGTAAAGAAAATACACTAAATTGGGCCCGTTTTATTTTGGGGGGTTTTGTTTGTTTTTTAATGGTGTACAACTGTGTCTTGAAAAGATTTCTCTCCCCACCCTCACTACTATTTTTTTTTTTTTTTGCTTTGCTCATTAACTGAGGTTTTGACTACCCAGGAAAGCCCCTGATGACTGAATAATTAGCGAACAAGAGTAGAGCTAGTTGAAAAACTTGTACCAAAATCATGTTTACACAAAAAGTGTGTCTATTTTCCATTGAAAATCCTCCCCCACCCCAACACTTTATAGCTGCCTCTTCTCAAAAATAAAAAAAAACAAAAACTGAGGATGACCTATTCTAAAATTAGGTTTCAATTACTATCCATGTTTTAAATTTTGAAGTTAAATATTTGGAAGAAAGGGCATATGCAGTAAGGATTTGCAAACCCTACCTCAGAGCAAGAGTTTAGCTTCAAATGTGCATTTCAGAGACCACCTTTTACCTACAAGATCTCCAGCAAAACCAGAAAACAAGTGATGTTATTAACATAAAACACATGCAAAGTGACAGTCCTCCACACCTTCAAAAAAAACAAAACAAAACAAAACAAAACAAACAAACAAAAAAACAAACCCACAAAAAAACTTCAATTCTTCTTTTGAGATAAAGGATTGAAAATGCAAAGAAGTATAAGTCAGCTTCTAAGGTTCTCTTGAGGTTACTAGCTGATGTCTTTCAGAAGAATTGTTCAGGAAACAGATCACGGTAAAAAAGTTTCTGAAACAATTATTTTGCCCAGCTTTTCAGCTTAGCTTAAAAGATCAGTTCAGGTGAACTAATCTCTTCTCCCAAGTGATTAATGCTTCAAATTAACAAGAAGGGCAAGTTCATGAGGCTTATGCACCTATGTTTTTATTCCCTACTATATTCATTCATTTTAAGGTTATTTGTTACATCTCCTCTCCGTTCTTAATATTCAGGTCTCCATTCCATTTTTAACAAAGGATGCAATCCGTGACTTGTTGCACATTCTGTTAATTATCTGTATTAGACCAATGCCTTAAGACACCACATTGAGATTTTACAGTTCCTAACAAGGGATACCAAAATACAATGAAGGAGCTTACAGTCTAAGTCAGAGGTGGGAAAATGCAGCCCGCCAGGCCATTCTACCTGGCCTGCAGGGCCCCTAAAAAATTTAGAAAATTAATATTCATCTGCCCCCGTCTGCCTGTCATGCTTACCAAAACTCAGTAAGCGATCCTCCACCCAAAATAATTGCCCACCTCTGGTCTAAGTAGACTGGATGGACAAAGGGTTGTGGAGGAAACAACTGCCCAGAGCGATGAAGCAACTTGCCCAAAATCACTAGCAAGTTAGTGGCAATGCTGGAACTAGATGGCAGGTGTCCAGGAGCTGGGGTATGGGACTCCCCAAAACATTTATCCCTATTTTTCCTAACCCACAAATGCATAGAAACTCTCTCAATGGGCCCGGTGCTGTAGCCACTCCAGCTTCCCATTGATTTCAATGGGAATGTATTGCACCAAGAGTTAGCAGGATCAAGCCTGGAATAGCTGTGGTACTCTGGGTATAAACTTTAAAACAGAAGAGGGAGTTGTTTGAGGAAAAAGGTGTAGATTACTTGTCAACACTGACACAAGTTGCATTTGTTATAGACCAATTCCTACAAAACCCAGCAGGGATAAAGTGTTAACTGACAGTAGTGAACAAGAGAGAAAATTAGATCTGGGGCAGCCAGACAAAGCAGCACAGGTGTTTTGGCACTTCTGCAGTTGGGGACTGCCAGCAAGACCCGTCTCAGCTCAAATGCTATCTCTGTTCATATAACACCTTGGTGAGGACACTCACAACAGACTCCTTCCTCTGATCATCAACAATAACATGAATTTGTCATTCAGTCCCAGCTGCAGGAGCAGCAGCTGCCAATGACAAGCCCCACTAAAAAGGGCTTTTCAACAGAAATGTACCTATTATCTCCAGAGTTTGGGCCATTATGCCCCAAGAGAGGTGGTTAGCTGTGTAGAAAGCAGGATAGATATGCACCTTATAGACTAACTAACATATATATCTTCATAATGTCCTTGCCAATGCTCCAACTACAGCCCAGGGCCCAAAATAGAGAGCCCCTTTTCCTCAGCCCAAATAGCAAACAAGCCTAGGGCCCTTTGTGGCACAAGATGGACTTTAAAGGTACTCTGCTTAAAAGGATAAAAATGGGAGCGGACGCAAAATATGGCTAGAAGGACATATTGGAGAATACCCGCTTCAGGGCATACTGATAAAACCCATACAGCTCCCGAACAACCTAAAAAACCACAAGGAGATGCAAAATGCATTAAGCCTGTTGAGGCCTTCAGAAGAGATGAATGCCAAGTGCAAACTCTTACTAAGATTAGAGAAGCCCCTCAACGTGCAGCAGACTTCATGGAGGTAGACCTCTGTGATCACGTGCAGGCCTCCTGAAATTAATAGGCACTTTCAATCTTAAGGATCAACCGCGTGGATCTAATTTGGATGGGAGTTTGTGGTGCATCCAGACGCACGTGGATGTTTGGTTCCCCAGGGACAACTAGCAGCAGCGCACCTTGTACTGCAGCTACCCATCTCCGGGGAATGCCCGTGCCACGCTCACTTTGGTGCACAGCAAGTTACTCCAGGGGTGGTAGGGGCCAGCACTGTGCTGGCTCCAGCAGCCTTACCTGGGGGCCTCCGGGGGCTGCAGTGCAGCTATTCTGTTGGATGGAGACTGGCCGGCAGCCCCAGCATGGCTTTGGGCAGCCCGGCTCCACTTTTCAGCAGCACATGGTGCCTGAGTGTGTGCTACTCCATTTGCGAGGGGGGTGGTGTTCCGCATGTTTTCTGACCTCTGGATATCTAGGGGTTGTCTGGACATGCCCTATGGGTCCAAAGCCTACCAATACCACAGGGCATCTCTCTTGATTTAAGTGCTATTTGGACCAAGTCCTAAGTTGACAGCTCAAGTATTTTATTCACAGACCTTTATTTACATTTTCTGGAATTCAGGTCTTTTCATGCAGCCACTCAGTTTTGCTTCATGACAGATAATTTTTAAAAGCAGCCAGAACAGGAGGCCCCGTCATGGCTGGAAGTTTCTACTGAAGGTTTGATTGGACTCCTGCCATCTTCAAATAGGAAAATATCACTTCAAGTTAGTGAGGAATTGAAGACACTTCCAGCCCCTTCTTCAGATCAATTAGCATCCCCTCAGTAAGACAAGATATGTTGCTTGAAGACTTCGACATTCAACATTGCCCAGCTCACCGTATCCAATAACAAAGCTATTATTATCCAAAGCATGGCATTCAGATTTAAATATAGGGAGGTACAATGCTCGATGGAAGCTAGACAAAATTAGTGCTTTCTTTTTTTAATAGCTCGCTTTTTTGAAAATCCTACGGCATCTGCGTGCTTTAATTACAAGAGGTAGATCTATAAGGTAGATCAGCAGATGAAGCCGAGATACAGCAAGAGAATGCTCATGAGCTTGATTAAAGTGATATAGCAATTGCCAACCATAAGCATTCAGAAACCATGAGTCAGGCCTCAAAGTCTCAGGTTAACTTAAAAATCTGGGGGGGAAAAAAAAAATATTAAAAAAAAAAAAAAAAAATTGTAAATCTTAGGTTCAATCTCTCTCAGGTTTTGGGATCCATTCAGCTTGTCCAAACTTCTCTCCAGGAGCAGGAGAGCCATCTACTTATGTTAAAAAAAAGCAAAAACACCCAAGATTCATATAATCACTGAATTCAAGTAGTTGGGGGCTTTAAGAAAAACATCCAGTATCCTGGGAGTTGGCAACACTACGGTTTCATTTGAACTACTGATGTTTATATCTCACGGTCCTACCGAGGAGGTACCACTGGACTAATGGAAGTGCTGGAGAAGCGGTGACTACCATACTTCGGGGGCGGGAGTGCAGAGGTGTTAAAACCCTGTGGATAATTTCAGTTCTGGTGCCCCGCTATGTATACAGCTATGCTTCAGAAGTGAACTTGTGCAATCAGATGCCACAGATGTCCCCATGTTCTGAACATGTCTTCTAAAGGCTGGCCACAACACGGCAGAAGTTGGGCATCACCTTAATGTACAGAGCTCATGAACTGTGCATAGCACTTGACCAAGACCTTTGTCCTGTTACAGAGAACACACATGGGACTGTGGTTCAAAGCACTAGGAAACAGGGAGAGTGAGGAATGGCTCCAAAGTAAGGCTTCATTCAAACTGCAAGGCCAGGGGCAGAAGTTACACAAAAACTGGTTGGTTTAACAGAACAGAAGTTCAGAGCACATAAACCAGTTTCAATATGGCCAGACCCAATTTAAGATAAACCAGGATGGATGTAGTATCAGATTTAACTGATTTAGATTAACCCAGTCTATGGCACTTCTGTCCCAGATCCCCTCCTAACTCAAGGCATGTCCCAGGACCCCAGCATCCCAGGAGGCATTGGGGCCCCCACTAACCACAGGGTAGAGGGGGCTAGTCTTGGCTATGCCATCTGCTCCAGCTGAGCAGAGGCCAGGCCCACCCAACAGCTGTCACAAACCTGAAGCAGTGATGTCTCTGCTCCCCAGCCTGGTCCTGCCTGCATCACTGACCTGCTGAGGGGAGGGGAAAAGGAGTCCCCCCTCCCAGCCCGGCTGCAAGCCTGGCATCTGCCCATGTGGGGGGAACCCCAGACACTGGAGGGTTTCCCCTGGCCAGCCTTGTATTCCCTCCCCCC